TATATATATATATATATATATACACACACACATATACACACATAATATGTGTGCATTAGATGCAGCACAGTCCCCCTTTTATAGCTGCACCAGGCTATATATATTTAAAGCAGGACTCCAAATCAAATCTTAACCCTTGCAGTGGGGCTACCCCTGCCCTGCAAGGGTTAAGTGCTCATTTTTTGTCTACGTTAAAAAAAAAGTTATACCCAATCCGACTTGCTCTTAGACGGGTCCCTTCCTCCTCTGCTGCAGAGATGTTTGTCCCTCCGAGTCCTCACATCATATACACTGTATAGAACGTGATGACTCAGGGACCTTGATGGTGCTGCTGGCGGGTAATTTCCTATACTCATCGGCGACATCTAGGGGAGAAAGTGCTGTGCAAACAGTATACACCAGTTGGAATCTTTAGAAATGTCCCCTTAGCGTTCTGCACATACAAGTCTGACCTCTGACTCCACAGTAACCATCTCATGTTTTCAGGATTACCCTTCGATAAATCAGGGGTGGTATTAAAAGCATCCCCTTAATTACCTGTGAAAAACAAAGGGATACTGAAATCATGACCTGCCAAGGAATGGAGATGGAAAACCTCTGAAATAAGCTTCCATTTCTGCCTGTGGATTGGCTCTGGTGAGGCTTCCAAGAGACCCCACCGGACAAAGCAAAGACAAAAGGAATGACATCACTGCTCCCGAGTAGGGATCTACATGGGCTTGGTGTGCACCAGTTCACTGGAGTTCGTCCATGCAAAACGCTCAGTGACATGACACCCTCCCTGCCCCATCAGTTGCGGTCGGGCACCCCCACCCCTTTGTTACAAGTAGATGTGGGCCGAAGAATGACCCTGTCGCAGCAAATTGGGCCAGGATTGGGTTTCAGATAAACTAATTATTCTGTTCCCTGAACGCACAGATTTCTATTTTTTCTAAATGCAATACAGCGTTGCATGACGGAATAAATGTCAGTTAAAGTACCGCAGCGCTGAATACTGAAAAATGGCCTGGATGGGAAGGGGGTTTAACACCGCGGATGTCAACTGGTTAAACTGAATGCACCTGAATGAGAGGAAACGCACAGTGTGCATTCATACATGCATTCTTATGCACCAGATGTCCTATAGAACACATATAATTGCATGCGCATCATCGTCAGTGTGAATGAGGCCCTGAACGCTGTCAGTAACCTGTTCTGCATGCTAGTTTTTTTATTGCAAGCAAAAAAAGAAGAAACTTCCGGACTTACAACACATCTCCCACGTGATGAGGACACGGCCAACATTCACTAGAGCCAAAGTCGAGTTACAACAGGAAAGAGTCCTCATATCATATGAGGAAGCTTCAAATGTAACACTGGCACCCTTTTCTAATAGGCGCTGCGAAACATATCTGAACCCAAAACCAGAAATATAATATGTAGCAGCTTGCCAACCCCTAGATAGGGTGGCTGCATTGGTTTTCTTGTTTCCGACTTCTTTTCCTTCATTTTCAGCTGGTGATCTTGCCAGTTCCTGTCCTAGGCGACGGTCACTTACCGTGCCATATCTATGTAGAGGCACCCTAGGGCAGAACTACAGAAATCTTGTGCATTGTGTAATGCTGAAATTGTAACACTGTGTTGCCACATACACGCAAACAGCTGGAGGCAGAGTTCTGTGCAGGGAGAGCATTTAGTCGGCGTCTCCCAACACGAACGTCTCTCAGTCACCATTTACAATCGGGAAGCAGTAGGACGAGTGCCTGATTACGTGACCACTGATACAGCCAATCAAACCGGTCACATGATTGGGAGCCCACCAGCTGGCCCCCGGTGTTAAGAACCCCCTAAAATAGGGGTGGGTGAGCCCTCCAGCTGTTGTGGAACAATAAATCCCATGAGGGTTTGCAAGATTCTCACAGCCACAGGCGTAACTCCCAGAGACAGATGCATGAAGGGATTTGGAGTTTTACTACAGCTGGAGGCCAGTAGTTTGCCCACCTATGCCCTAAAAGGTCCAGCAGCAGACAGGGGTAACAACAACAAAAAAGCGCCATCTGTAAAAAGCTGCTCGCCCCAAATTAATTTAAAAAAAATAATTACAGTGGCTGGGGCCTGCAACGCTTCTGGGTGGCCCAGGTGATGTCACCGTGTTATCTGGCAGAGTTGGGGCTTGAAAGCCATTTGTGTTTAGAGCAAAAAGCGGACCATTTTGTTTGCCATGAAGGTAGATCTCAGGCCCGGTTCACATCTTGGCGATCTGCGCGGTTTCGTGCACAGTCTAATGGCACCCCAATCGCAGCCGCAAAAAACACTGGTTTCTTATCGCACAAAAAGGTGCATGAGCCTTTTTGCCGCACGGATATGACACCATTAAGATCAACGGGACCGCACGGCAACCAACCACACGCGGACGTGCAGTCCCGGGCCACCAAAATGTGAACCAGGCCTAAACCTGCAC